TGAATATTACTTCTTTGTGACGGTTCTCCTACTTGAATGGAGGTTTGGGGTTGTACATCTTTTCCACACAAGTCAATAAAGATATCATGTTGCATAAGACTTGCATTTAAGTCAACCACCAATTGTTGATAAGGCTCTTCACCAATCATTCCAACATTAATGCCATTAACAACATTAACATTCTCAATCGGCATATTGAACAAGTCACGTGGATTCGTTTTGACAACAACAATCCAACCAGGTTCAACAATGTCATCCACAAAAAAACTTGTTCTGCTTGAGATGCTAAAATAAATGGTTCGTTGGTTTGTAATGAACATTGAATGTTGATACTTGTGAACCCATACTTATCCACCTTGTATCCTTCGCCATAGTTAGCGACATCCTACCAGTGACACTTAAACAGGTATAATCTTTTGTTCTCTATGTAAGATAACTCATAAATATGCTCTAACACACCATAATATTCTTTATCAGCATTAGTATCATCACCCTTAGCCGTGACTCCATCATTTTGAGTTTTTTTTCCTATTGCCCAATCTTTTGCATGAAAACGAAATCCATTGCCTATGAACATAGAATAACGATGGACCACTCTCGATGGACCAATTGATGAACTTCTGAGTTCAGGACTTACAAGGCCATGTGTGGACAATGCTATCACCTATTAAAGAAGAACCATTCCTTAAATATGTATTAATATTATTAATATAAACTCCAAAGCTCAAAGTATAGAACTTACTCGTGAACGAAACCAATCAGGAAACTCTTTATACTGTCTTTGCTCACTCATTAATCCTCGAGCTTCAAGTTCTCTTCTATGTTCCCTAAATGTTTTTCACACAAGAAAAAATATAAATTATAACAAATTCATTCTTGTTAAGTTAAGTTGACATACTCTATGAATGGCCAAGTTCTTCACAATTTTGGAGCACATACATTCTTGCTTGACAATACTCTTCATAAGAAAGAGAGATTGACTCAAAATGTCCTTTAGCTTCACCACTTTTCTTGAACACTGAAAGGTGATTACTGATATGATTATCATTAATGTCATCATTCCGATGCTGCACATTAAATTTAGTAAGAATGTCTTTCAAGTATCGTGAACAAAAAGTTAGACTTTCATCTGCCAAATATCCTTCTGCAATCGATCCTTTAGGTTGAGCCTTATTACCAACATATGACTTGAGAGTTCGCAAATACCTACAACAAAAAGTTAAGCCTTATTGAATGGTTTTAAATGATAGATTATAAATATAATTATAAAGTAACCTTGTTAAAGTGAATTACCTTTCTATGGGGTACATCCAACGATATTGAACTAGCCCACCAACTTTTGCCTCTCCTGCTAAGTGTATAGGCAAGTGAACCATTACGTCAAAAAAGGCCGGTGGGAATATAGTCTCTAGCTTGCACAAAGTTATTTCTATTTCACTTTGAAGTTTGTCAAGTTCTTCACATGTTAAACACTTTGAACAAAGATTTTTGAAAAATCTTCCCAATTGTATTATTGGTTCACATACTTGGGAAGGTAGTAACCCACGTATTGCAATTGGAAATATTTCTTGCAATAGTACATGGTGATCATGACACTTCAAATCAAATATTTTTCACTCATGAATGTTGACACACCTTGAGATATTAGATGCAAAAGAATCAAGTACCTTTAAGTTAGCCAAGAATTTACAAAGAAATTGTTTCTTTTCAAGGGACAATGTATAAGAAGCAGGAGGCTTATAAACATCATTACCATTCTTAATCGGGTGCAAATTACTCCTAATACCCAAGTCCACCAAATCATACCTACTTTTTAATGTGTCCTTTGTCTTTCCAACTAAATCCATCACCGTCGACACAAGATTATTAGAAAAATTTCTTTATATATGCATCACATCAAGATTATGTCGAATCAACAAATTTTTCCAATAAGGAAATTGGAAAAAAAATACTTTTTTCCTCCAATTATAAGCCTTACAATCTGTAGGGCGCTTTCGTTTTTGGCCTTTTCCAAATGACATATTACCCAATTGTTCTAATTGCATAAGCGCTTCATCTCCAGTTAATGGAATTGGTGAAGTCCTGAGTTCTTCTTTCCCATCAAATGATTTTGTATCTTTGCACCATGGGTGATTTTGTGGAAGAAAACGCCTATGACCCATGTAAGATAACTTGCTCCTTAATGAAATGCAATGTGTGTCTTTGTGACAACAAGGGCATGCAAACTTGCCTTTAGTTGACCATCCTGAAAGATTTCCATATGCAGGAAAGTCGTTTATTATCCACAACACTGCTGCGCACACAATAAAATTTGATTGAGAAAAACATCATATGTTTGCACCCCTACTTCCCACAATTGTTTCAGCTCCTCAATCATTGGTTGCAAGTAAACATCTATTTCATTACCTGGACACTTTGGACCAGGAATAAGAAGTGTCATCATAAAGTATGGGCTTTTCATGCAAAGCTAAGGTGGCAAGTTATATGGTACCAAAACTACAGGCCAAATGCTATGATTGGCACTCATATTCCCAAAAGGTTGAAATCCGTCACTTGCCAAACCTAATCTAACACTTCTTGGATCAGTGGAAAAGCTAGGGTATTGTTAGTCAAAGTGTTTCCAAGCAAGGGAGTCAGCTAGATGTCTCAATACACCATCATTTGTATGCTTTTCCTTATGCCACCTCATTTCTTTAGCTATATCTCTTGCCATATGAAGCCTTTGTAGCCTAGGTGTCATTGGAAAGTGCCTTAAAACTTTCTGGGAAATTTTTTTTCCTTTTTGCTTGTTCAACTTCCATCTAGGCATCTTGCACTTAGGACATGATTCTTCATTTGCATGTTCCCCCCAATATAATATGCAATCATTTCCACAAGCATCAATTTTATTGTAATCTAAACTCAAATCACGAATTATCTTCTTAGCTTCATAGAATGAGTTTGGCACTAAAGCCCCTTCTGGGAGAACATCTTTCAATAGGGCCAATAGTGCATCTATGGATTTATTGCTCCAATGGTTAAGGCACTTCAATTGAAGCAATTTTACAATAAAAGACAATTTTGATATCTTACGACAACCTGGATAAAGTTCTGTTTCTGCATCCTTTAATAAGTCATAGAACCTTTTGGCATGCACATTAGGCTCTTCACTCTCATTTAATTCATTGTTCATATCATTCATAGAAGGGACATTATACGCATCACATACCACCCTTATAAGGTTCTCCTCCTCATAAGTATCATGTTCTACTACTGTACCTGAAGCTCACAATCACTTTGACATCTAATGATTTCCCCATGCAAGTCCCACACCTTATAACTATCCTAGAAACCCTTACTCAATAAGTCAACCCTGACATCTCTTCTCGCTTTGAATATAACATTCATACATTTTTTACAAGGACAACGTATTTTGCTTGTCGCTTCCTTCTGAGTAAAAGCCCATTCGAGAAAACCATCTACTCCTTTAATGTATGTCAGATTGCCTCTGTCTTTAATATCTAACCAACTTTTATCCATTTCTATTTCATAAAAGTTTGAAGATTAATATAAGATAGGGAAAAAAAATAAATATTAAAGTGCAAGAAATAAATATATAGTTATATACATCCCACAAATATTATGAACGTGACAGATTTCAAGCTAATATCTCTATATAAACAAGCATGGTCTTAAAATAAAATGAGATTATCACATTTGAGGCACAAATTCATAATTCTTTTGGGAAAAATCAAACATATAATCAAATAAGATTACCTACAATACATTACTCTATTTTATATTTTAAATGGCTTTGAATGACAGTTACAATGAACTTTGAAAAAATATAATTAAGCCAAACACATTCACAAGTAAATTCCATTCTCATGGACAATTATCAAGAGACCTCCCAACTAAACCATACTCCATTTTCCATATACATAGAAGTATTTTCAAGCAATGCCCAGAAGACACATACCATTTAAGAAGGGCATTGTACACTTGTAGTTATAACCCAAATGGAACATGCATTTATGAACATGTTTAAACAATCACATCAAAGCTGGTACGACAGGACATCATTGTGTTCATATATAAAATTTGACATAAGTAGTTTAATATGATAAATTTTTATTATATTAATATTTATAATATTTTTACTCAATTTTAAATTTCAACCATTAAAAGTAATCTAATGATAGAAAAATTAAGTGGAGAGAAAGTGGAGAGAGAAGTTAGTAAAGATATTCTTCTCCCATCTAATGCCCCCTTCTACTTGTATTATTCTATACATCAATTCAGTTAATTGGTTAGAAAATAGACCGAAAGAGATTTTGTTTGGTTGAAATTGTTTGTTAGTTGTCACGAACTAATCCAGAAATATACTAAATAAGAAATTTTTAGTCTAGTCTAAAGTGAATTTAGGAAACAATTCGTGCCAAATATATGAAATTAGATTAGGTTTTGAATAGAAAATTTGATACAAAATAATTTTTCCACTATAATTTTATACACTCAAATTTACAAAACAGAATATATTCTTCTTGGAAATAATGATATCCTATCCCAATAAATAGGGATGAATTGTTTTTATTTGAATATGAGATTTGAGATGAATCTTTTTTCAAATTTGAATCTTTTTAATACTTAAATCAGAACTAATTTCTTCTCATATCTGATGATATCTCTAAATTTTTTTTGTCAAAATATCAAAGAAACATACATATTAACCCTTTTTATTTTAACTTAATAGCAACAATATTTTTAAAATAATTTATAACATGCAAGAAAAATCATGAAAATTAGATAACGAATCAGGTACGATAAAATAAATCATAAAGAGAGGGGGAAAAAACCATAATCGTCGGAAAAATCATGAAAATTAGATATAAAATCAAATCGGATATAATAAAAAATTGCACAAAAAAGCATATATATAATTTTAGTTTCGAATGTTTTAAGGGCGAGCCTTTAATTTCCTGATTCCTTTATACCAGTCGAGCACCAAGAAGAAAATAGCAATGAGGAACGAGACACCATATCTTCCTCAAGAAATTGTCAGAAATATTCTCGCACGACTTCCCGTAAAATCCCTAATCCGATTTCAATATGTGTGCCAGGATTGGAAGAATCTGTTCAAAACCCCATGTTTCATTGCAGAACACCTCCACCATTCCACTCAGCAAAACTCTTTACTTGTTACCGATTGCTATATCAGCAAATGTATAGCTGATACTTGGCATTTAAGCATACTGAATCGCGAGATGCAATTTCTTGAATTTCGAAACCCTCCTATCGCTGATACCTTCGGGCCATTATGGAGGACTATCCATTCCAGTAATGGCTTGCTTTGTCTCGATCTCATCATAACTAATGGACCTTACAATTCCTTTATGTTGTGGAATCCGGCTATTAGAGAGGTCCGACAAGTGCCTCACTTTATTAATGATTTTGAGAAGAGTGATGATGCTTCTGTCGGATTTGGGTTCAGCCCAGTTGTCAATGATTACAAGATTGTGAAACTTTCTTTGCTTGATCGTATGGTTGTTGAAGTGGAAGTATATGCACTAAGGACAGCGTTTTGGAGGAAAGTTAAACTTGGCAATTTAGAAGTTACAACTATTAAGAGTGATCACGGTTTCCCTTGTAATGGATCAATCTTTTGGTATGGGTTAAAGGAATACGATAGAATTCATGTGATAGTTTCATTTGATATAGCAATTGAAGTCTTCACATTGATACCCTTTCCTACTGAGTCGCTTGCCTTTGAATTATCTCCCTTTAGGCTTACGATGTATGATAACAAACTTGCTCTGGTTTCTGCTATTAGAAATAATGAATCGTCTTTATTCATTGAGTTGTGGGTGATCGAGGAGTGTACAAATGAGCCCAGGGAGGGATGGATTTGGACTAAAATATATACAAGCAGATCCTGTCCATGTTGGAGTTTAAGTCCAATGATTATTTGGAGAAATGAAATTGTTTGTAGTGTCCATGCGATCCATGAAATGCCATTTGGAAGTGAAATGAAGAATGATGAAGCAAAAGTTCTTTTGTGTAATCTCACTACTAATGAATTCAACATGTTTGCTTTCCCAACAAAATGTGACTTTACTAATCGGCTTTTGGATTATGCGGAAAGCCTTGTTCCATTAAGTAACATCAAGATTGAAGGGCAGTGATCTGTTTTCTTAATTCGTGTATTTCTTAGTTACTTTATTTCAAGGGTGAACGGGAAAAATTTACCTATTATAATATTGAAAAAAGCATCGAGTGGGGCATGAATGCGAGCGCTACTTTTTTTTGTGGGCCCCACCTAGTGTCCATGTAATTTTTCTCTACCTAATAGAAACACGCCACTTCACATTCATATTAATCTTAGTTGCTATATTCTCTTTCTTTTCCATAATTAACTCATTTTAAATTATTTTTAATTTTTGCCCTTAGAAAACATCATCTCCCCTCTCTCTCCCTTTTTTTCCCCCTCAGTCTCTCCACATCTCCGTTGAAAACTTACTTCTCCAGTCCCCTCCTTTGGCTCTTCAACGAAGACGATAATCTAGAATGAGCAAAGCCTCTCAGATGGGTCCTCCCACCAGTAACTTGTCGATGGCGGCTCAGACTTCACCCTTTCGCCCTTAAATATATTTTTCCATTTTATTTGTCCTTCTTCCTCCTAACCAAAAGCTTGCACCGATTCCTCAGACGTCACTTTAATGTTGCGATCTCGTTGCTCTCTGTCTCTGGCAAACAAAAATCTGAACCTCGCTATTCTCTGCAAACGAAAGTCGAAAGCTCATCATTGCTCGCACACCCTAATTCGCTATCATCATTGCTCGAACAGTTGAAGCCTTGCATTCGCCATTGCTATCATGCTTGGAAATCTGAAGCCTTGCATATCGTTGCTTACTGTAAATGTATTTTTAGTTTTTATTTTTTTGATTTTTGGTTTTTAATTTCTATAGATTTAGCTTTGTTATAATATGCGATTCTGGTAGTTGCGGATCATGCTTTCACTTTGAGACTGATTTTGGGGGACGAATTATTGAAATACTCAAATTAGTTTCAACGAATAAATGATTTAGTGGTTTTCTTTTTTTTTGGTTTCTTGCTCTGTTATGGACTCATGGTTCCGCCGCCGCTAAGTGCTTGTTCCCTATCTCGTGTTCTTTTGGATCTCATCTTTCTAAATTCGTGTTTGTTCCCTGTTTCACCCTAAAATACAATGAATTGTGGATAAGGTCAATGAAGATGGGTTTCCTAAAAAATCCAGTACGTGCAAAATCCCTAATTTCTATTTGATTCTTCACTTTTCCGCTTGGTTTTGTGCTTCAGTGCAATCTTTGCCTTTCAGTGCCTCTCGTCTTCTTACTTTGCCTTTTTAGCTCATCTGACACTACTAGTTCTGTTCGTCATTTTGGTTTGCTGTTCCAGTGGGATGGTGGTGGGAACTGGAAAGGGTCGGTCATGAGGAGAAGAGTGGATGATGGTGGCTTGGAAAAATTTGCATAATTTTTAGATTTTCCAGTTAGGATATTGTTATACCACGTAAGCATCTGTATCAGCATTTTTTTAGTCAAAATGTCATATCTAAACAGTCAACATTAAAGCACTTAACAGCATGGGCATTTTGGCATGGTTTTCAAAAGTTCATATGCATTTTTTGCCTCCCACATTTTATTATTATGCTTAGTGCTCATTTTCAATGTTACAATAGGTAAGTTTGCCCCTTCATCCTTATTTCAATATGTTTTTTACGAAAATATATATACCCTTCTATATAACATGGATCATTTGTTCCTCAGAGATGAGTGCAAATTAGCACCAAATGTTTCTTCCTGTATATTTATAATTTTATTCTATTCACTTTCTTTTAAAAATGGATCCATGATTTTGTTGTTGGTATGGATTATTTGGGACTTTTTATCCATTCTGTAACATCTCAAATTATAAAGCTCTAAAAAATAGGCTATTAAGGAATCATGAGGTTCAAAGAAATTATTTTAAGAATTAGAACCTCAAAATTATTTTAATGGACAAAAAGCCTAGTTTTTGATGAAATTTTACAGAAATTAAAGAGAAAAGCAAGTAGTAAAATTATTTAATACCTAAAAAAATTTGGAGACACATTATACAATATTATTTTGAGCATTTAGAAAATTTATGAAGAGGTTTAATTTCCCAAATATGGCTCAAATGATTTTAAAACTAATTTCGAGGGATTAGGACCCTTTTTTCCCTAGAAATCCAAAGAAAAATAGTTAGAGGTTTATATTTGAGCTGAAAATTTTAGAATAATTATTTTATTAGGTAAAGAAGCTAATCAAGACATAAAATCCTTAAAGTAAATTAAAAATGAATTTATGAAATTAAAACTTATTTTCTTGAAAAAATTCAAAAAAATAGTTTGGAATTAATTTTTGACTCAATTTTTAGAGGAAGTATTTTATTGGCCAAAGAAACCGGTGGAGAAAGAAAATTCATGTAAAACATTAAGGATTTATTCTAGATTCAATTTATGTTCCAAAAAATAGGAAAAGGGATGGAATTGGAGATAAGAAAGGATAAAAAGGCAAAGTGGTTATTTCTCCTTCCCTCGCATCAACCCCACATGACCCCCCACTTAATAGCATTCAGAATATTTCTTTACCTTCTCATTTCCATCTGCAAGTCGAAGAGAAACAGAGAGAGAGTGAGAGAGAGATCGAGCAAGCTTGAGGAAGAAGAAGAATGACCGGGGAGAAATTTCTTGCATGCAAACCGATTAACGAGTTAAGGTGAGTCTTCTGGACATACTCCCATCTCCATTTTCTTTGATCGGTGATCATTTGGGCTGTTGATGATAATATATAAAGTCTGTTTTAGAAAGAGAAAGTGTAGAATTTGAGGATCAAGCTGTGGAAACAGTGTTTAAAGGTTAGATTGGGGGGTGTGGTTGTGACTTTGCTCATGCATCTGGTTATTATAGGAGTTGAGAGTCTGCTTTGAATCCAGAAAAATTCCAGATTTGCTATCAGGGGGTGCTGTTCGGTTTCTGCACGTCAAGAAGCATTTAAAGTGCTAAAATAGAAGAGCTACATTGATGTATGTTCTGAAATGTGGGTGAGCCTGTGAGAGGCATGATGATTCGATTTTAAGGCTTTCTGTTTTGGTGTTATGTTCTGCATTCAAATGAACATTAATTCTTGGGTTTGAAAACGGCAGCATGATGTTATAATATGATGTTGTTAAAGGAAAATGGAGTTGCTGAATTTAAAATGAAAGTTATGTGGTTCGAATGACATGTGTAAATATATTAATTATATAGACATACATGTAATTGTTGTATTGTCTGAAAATGATGATTTTGAAGCAGCAAAACCTTCCTAAAAGTTGATGCTAATATTCCCTTAAGTTAAATGATCGGTCAAGCTATCTAAACCAAGTTTAGAGATTTGAAAATGAAGGTCCAAATTTTGTCTTTGGGATTGAAGGGTATTCAGAGAGGAGATGTTGTCCAAAAACTTGGTATGAGGAAGTATTTTTAAATTAAATATAAGGCATGAATAAATTGTTGTAGTTGAGAGAATATCTTTAAAGCTGGAAAATTTCAGCATTTTTAGCAGAGGGGCTATTAGAATGTTAGAAGAATTTAATTGGACTAAAGCCTAATGAAGTTGTATGACATGGAGTTTTGTTAATGTATGAAGCTGTAGGCTCATTTAATTCAAATCTTGGGAGTATATTTCAAGTTTGGAAACTTCAGATTTAAGACTGAACTTGTCCAAAATTTTAAAAGAGGACTATTCAAATGAGTTAATTGTTTCGTTGTTTAGGTGCTTTATTAAGAAATAATGATATAAGCAAGTTAATAGGCACTTAATGAATGCAGTGTCGATGATGTGAATAAAGAAGAATGCACTTGAACTTGAATGTTGTTATTGACATTGATTAAGTTGTTTAATGAATAGAAAAGGGGACAAAACATTTAATTGATGTGAAAATTAAATGGTTAAGTTTAAAGAGTAAATTTGATTATTGTCTGGAATTGGGAAACATTAAAGTTGGAGAGGTCAGGCAACTTATGTTCTGTTGTGAAGTTTTAAAGTAAAGGAGAATTTAATGTCAAATGGTGCTAAACCATTGGGTTGTTATGGATAGAAGAAAGAAGATTTAATGTTCAAAGTCTTGAAAAAGAACCTAGAACTTGAATGGAATAGAACAATAAGTTAGAGTTCGTTATTTCCACTAAAAGATCAATGGTAATTTCAGATGCTTGAGTTATGTATTGAAAAGTTGTGAAATAAGTTTGAGCTAATGCACTAAGTTGGGAGTTGGACAAAGATTGCTTAGCTCAAACAGATGTTTATATATATAATTTTGTCCATGATGACCAATCACTTTCATAAGGGTAAAGTTTGAGTAAGTTATTATTTTAGAGAAGTTATTTAAGTTATAAATGGAATAAGTATTAACCTACACTTATGTGAATATATAAATGTTAAGTTTTGACATTTGCCCGAGCTCACCAAGGACACCATAATAAGAGGATATTAAGGTTTGTGTTGGAAGAAAGTGTACCATGTAGTAGTTCTTCTTACCTTACAATTGTATTATGATTGCTACATGTCTGTTTGTGCCATATTAGTATTTTAAAGTATGAGAACATGTAATCATTAATTCCTTGCATGGTTTAGCCATGGCCACATGTAGCTGATAGACATGAGACAGTATCTGCCAATTATTTGCACATTATTTATTCAACTTGTCTATCTGTCATTACGTATAAATGCTTAATTGGATTAGCTTGCAAGGTTATGTTTCACTTTGGCTTATTTTGCATGCTTTATATAATTTGTACACTCGTTTTATGGAAATTACTACTACAGGGATTCTTTGAAATCTCACCCTCCATCCTATGATGTGCAGTGAAGGCAAGCAACTCCAAAGCGAAAGAGGTATTAAGAGGTGAAGGTGGGCGAGACTGAAGAGTAGGAATACCTACTTAGTATTGGACTTTTATAGTAGAATATTTTGTATTTATTTACCTATATTTCTATATAAATTATCTGAGCAAATAATTGTTACTTGCTCTACGTAAATATAACTTTTGTATCATCCATAGGGAGGGGAACTCTGCTAGGTGCAGGTAAGAGCCATCAACCGGGATGGCTATTACAATATAACGTAATATTATAGAATTACAAGGTTTGGAATCCTTATAACTGATACAAATATAGTTTAGGATAGAGTCTATTGTGAATCACTCATCAATTATTCTAGAGGTTTAAATTATTTAGACAATGAATTTCAATGTTATTTTTGTGTTCAACTCATGTATTGGAATTATGTTTTCAAATGGTTCATGTTTTAAATCAAAAAAATAATTTACCCCATTTTACCTAGGTCAGAAACCTAGTGTTAATGATTCACAAGCATTAAAATAACTCTAAAAATATATAAAAAGTTAGGTGTTGCACATTCAATATACCAATTGTTTTAATTTTGATCCTAAATGTTAGTTATTACATTGAAGATTTATCCTATTTAAGAAATTTTTTGTTTAGTAATTAATCTGCCACGCTGGTTTTGGATACATTGTTTTGCTAGGGGTACGTACACGTAGACACACAACAATGTCAATATCAGGTTGGAGCCTAGAATCTCATTCAAGTATGACGAGTGGCATTATTACTAAGAACAACTTGCGGTTGACTATGTTTTCTTAATCTTAATAATAGTGTTTAGAAAAAAATTTACTCACGTAAGCCCTACTTTAGATCTGCTATTCGATTTTATTTTCACCTTTTGGTTAATTAATCTTCACTTTCCCTTCTTATTCGGTTGTTATTTAAATTCGAATGCATGCACATGCACTTATTCATCCTTATTTCCGCATGAGAAATTTCTAATGGAGAAACATTGTGCCTATGAAGAAGATATACGTTGTAATTATATTTTGATTTGCATATTAAGGAGCAGAGGTACACTACAAAAAAATAGACTTTAGGCGACGACTTTCGGCGGCGATAAAAAAAGTCGCCGCTGAAAGTCCACTTTCGGCGGCGACACCAAAAAGTCGCCGCCGAAAGTGGACTTTCAGCGGCGACTTTTCTAGTCGCCGCTGAAAGTTCGCCATTGAAACCAAGACTTTCAGCGGCGACAAAAGTGTCGCCGCTGAAAGTGGACCTTCAGCGGTGACTTTTTTTGTCGCCGCCGAAAGTGAACTTTCAGCAGCGACTTTTTTGTCGCCGCTAAAAGTATAATATAATAATATATATTTTATTTTACAATATTAATAAACAAATTGCCGAAAATGGACCTTCAGCGGCGACTTTTTTTGTCGCCGCCGAAAGTGGACCTTCAGCGGCGACTTTTTTGTCGCCGCCAAAAGTGGACTTTCAGCGGCGACTTTTTTTGTCGCCGCTGAAAGTATAATATAATAATATATATTTTATTTTACAATATTAATAAACAAATTGCCGAAAATGGACCTTTAGCGGCGACTTTTTTGTCGCCACCGAAAGTGGACCTTCAGCGGCGACTTTTTTTGTCGCCGTTGAAAGTATAATATAATAATATATATTTTATTTTACAATATTAATAAACAAATTGCCGAAAATGGACCTTCAGCGGCGACTTTTTTTGTCGCCGCCGAAAGTGGACCTTCAGCGGCGACTTTTTTTGTCGCCGCTGAAAGTATAATATAATAATATATATTTTATTTTACAATATTAATAAACAAATTCAATCTGGCTCAGTGACAAGAAGGTTGGACACGAAGGGAGGCGGTCACGAGTTCGAACCTGGAAGAAGACACATTTAAGGTGAAAATATTTAGACGATGACGTGGCGAGGAGGAGTGACGTGGCAATGACGTGGAGGTGGCTAGTGATGATGTGGCGGTCGGCGGTGATGACGTGGCCGCCGATGGCGATGACGTGGAGGTCGACGGTGCTGACGTGGCGGCCGGAGACGATGACGTGGCACCGGCGGTGATGATGTGGCATTGGTAAAGCCAATTCTTCTTAGGCATTACTTTCAGCGGCGACAAAAAAGTCTTTCAGCGGCGACAAGAGTGTCGCCGCCGAAAGTGTTTTCTGCGGCGACTTTTTTGTCGCCGCTGAAATGCTTTTCAGCGGCAACAAATGTCGCCGCCGAAAGTGTTTTCGGCGGCGACATTTGTCGCTGCTGAAACTTCTAAAAGTCGCCGCTGAAAGTATCTTTTAACGGCGACCTTTTTAGTCGCCACTGAAAGTTTTCAGCCACGGCTGCTACGGCAACGACTTTTCAGCGGCGACTTTTGTCGCCGCTGAAAGTCAATTTTTTTGTAGTGGTAGTAATAAACTCTACTAAACTTTTTAGTCCATGCATATAATCCCAAACTAATCAATTTTATAACTTTATTTTTGCATGTATAGAACTCCTTCAAATTTGAAGTTATATATAGATAAATCTCTTAAATTTTAAATAATTTGTAGGAAAATCATGAACGAAAATAATAATATGGGAGTTATCTACATAAATATAAGTTTGGGAAGATTTATTGTAAAGTTTCAAAGATTGTAAAGGTTAGCTACGTATGATATGAAGTTGTGGAGAGTTTTGGATAATTTAGCATAAAAATTGATTTCATTTTAAATTCATTTAACTAGACTTAAAAAAATGTTATTTACTGAATCAGATTTCATCCACCGTCCTATTTATTCAAAATCAATTTTATGTTAAATAGATTTTACACAATAAATTATATTAGTAATGATTTAATTTTAACTCTTTTTATAACTCACGAATCATATAAACTGGACAATAATTTTTCATTAAATTCACGTATCAATATCGTTCAAAATAATTTTTATTTTTATTTTTAAGAAAAATAAGTGCAAAAATAAAGGTGAGACTAATTATTTTCAAAACAGAAACTTATTAATAAGAATAAAGTTTTCGTAAAATATAATATGAATTTAAAGGCGAGGCCCCACAGTGTTCTAAGCTTCTTTTCCGCCATTCGAGTCTACACCAATGGATAGCCACCATATCTAGCTCAAAAATTATCAGAAATATTCTCAAACGACTTCATGTAAAATCCTTAATATGTTTCTAATGCATGTGCAAAGATTGGAAGAGAATTTCATGCATGCTTGCTTAAAAAATGTTAAAGGAAAAACAATGGTTACGGTAATGTACTTGCAGAATTATTTTGTTCAATCTCTATTGAATGTAAAAATTTAAACATATATATATATGTTTACTTTTGTAATTTAGATGCTTAATGTATATACTCCTCCAGTCCTAAATATAAGACTCATTTTATAGAGTAAATTAAAACATGTCTTATATTTAGGATTAGAGGGAGTACTAGATTAAAGATCATTGCCTTATTTTATTTATCTATTGGTATGGAACGAAGCTTATTTTTGGTAGAACTACGCTGATTCTTCTGTTGTAGAGCTTTCGAGAGACACCAATTATATATAAACAAAAAAAACTCTACTGAAACTTCTACAAAAAGATTTGTCACTTTTTTTTTTTACAAAGTATAACGAAAAATCTTATTCTGTAGCCTAAAAAATATTTGTGAAAATTCACTGCTAAAGACCTTGCCCCCCAATGCATCTTTGATCGCAATATACCTTGCGCATATTTGAGAAAATTCAGGTTTAATTCAATTTATTTTTTTAAAAAACAAATATGAAATATATAATTTTCTATTATATTTATTATAAAAATTTACCAGTTCTTTAGTAATTAATTATAACAAATATTAGTTAATGACAAGTTGCTTCAGCAGCAACCCGTTTGGATGAGATCCTGACTCAAGCTCAGCTTTAACATACATGGGGAAAAAAATCCTTTCGATGCATGTATTGTTTAATATCCTTCAAGGTGTTGTAGGAATGTTTTCTGTATTAGACAAAATTCATTAAAAAATTGGGGATAAATCCTCCATCGAGAATTTAATTAGTGAATGGTGCATAAAGACTTTGTGCAACTTAACTTTCTGGGGTACAACTTAACTTCTCTTATGTACAATTGATATTTCTTTGTGTGCAATCATCTTCTCTTCTATCACATCTTTTTGTGCAACTGAACTTCTTTTGTGTTCAAGTTATCATCTTTATATACAAATTAGTTTCTCGTATCTGAAAAATATTTCGTGCAAATCATTTTTCCTATATGTAACTCAACTTCCTTATGTGCAACTTATATATCTTCTTTTGTGCACCCTATCATCCTAGGTACCATTTGCTAGTTTTCCCAAATTCATATACATCTCTATATATTTGCCGTTTTGCATTGCAAATGACTTATTCAGGATTACGATTCGTGTGGTTGTAACCGACATCGTGTTTTTTCCTCTCCATATACATTGCGCAAATACAAACATATCAAGAAATATTCATCCATCTTCTCTACTTCAATATATCAATTCAGTTAATGGACCAGAGCATAGATAAAGAGAGATCTTTTTCGACTTAAAGTTGTTTGTTACTATTAGATTTCAGATCTGCATTAAGATATTGGATATAGTTATTTATGTAATTAAATATAAAATAAATTAAATAAGAGATTTAATTTGTGTTATCCAACAAATTTATTTGACAACACTTACATCAAGTTCTGCAATTATACATGATCAGGTATTTTATTTTTAAAATATTAAAATTTAATAGCATTTAACTATCAATCCACATAAAACAAAAGATGGACATATGACTATATGTGATTAGAGAACTTGACATAAGATATATAAGCAACTTAACCTTAGTTTTTTTTCCTAATCTAAGTATCAAGATTATATGATTTAATTTAGTCAATTTGAATTCAAATCGTATTTGTGGATTACATTAGGATTTAATTCGTTATAAATATATAATAGATATTCAATACCTTTAAATTCATATTATCTCTCATTAACTAAGATAATGGGGGATATAATGATAAGTACCACTATTATTAAATTCGTGAGTTGACTCTCCAAGTTTAATGTTTTTACGTTTTTAGTTAACAAAATCGTGTCGATTCACTCTTAAACTTGTAATAACTGTAAACTCGGTTAAACTTACGAATTGATTTACCGAGTTTACCATTTTTACATTTTAAGCTTACAAAATCATGTCAACTTGCTTTTGAACTTGTGCTAAATTTTTGGCTTTGATTATGTTTAATGACTTTATATATATATATGAATTTTATAGAAATTTCTTTGTTGAATGTGATAAATTATGAAAATTGATGGATATAATTTCAATTATTTAAATTTAAAATATATTTAAATGAAATTGATCTCATTTTTTATATATTAATTATTTAATTATATACTTTTAATATCAATTTATTAATAAAAGTAAACTGTTACGAGTTCACGATTTGAGTTTACGATCCAAGTTTATATCATTCTCACGAGTTTGTTTAAACTCGTAAGTTTGACAACCTTGATAAGTACACTAATGAATGGGGGGGGTGTATTAAAATGATAAGATATTTTGTAATTTCAAAATATCCCTTCCCAAAAGCTCCCTCCGTCATTTATAAATCATCCCATAATCGCAGAGCTTTTCATTTACCTCTTTTTTTCTTGTGTGCGGTGCATCTATCGGGAGCAGTGATAACCCAAACCCAAATCCAGTAAGTTACTCTCCCTTGCTCCTTTAAATTTGAAAATAGATTTAAATAGAAAAATTAATATACAATAATTTTCTTCCAGTATAATTTTTATATACTCTAACTTAAAAAATAGAACATATTCCTCCTTCAAATAATTATCATGTCCCAATAATAAGTAAGAAACTAATTATCTTAATAGTCGTCGTTTGATTGCGCAGCTGTGAGACCCCTTTATACAAGTGGATCATGATGGAGCAGATAGTAATGGACAACGACACACTGCCATATCTTCCCCCAGAAGTTATAATAAGTATTCTTCTCCGACTTCCAGTAAAATCCCTAATGCGATTTCGATGTGTGTGCAAAGAGTGGAAGAATCTCTTCAAAACCCCATCTTTTGTTGCTGAGCACCTCCATCACTCCACTAAGCAGAATTCTCTTCTTTTTGATTGCACTATCTATGGTTGTACGTTAAGTTTGCTCAATCATGAGATGCAAGTTCTTGAACTTCAGAAACCTCCTTTCATTGATACCTCAATGGGTTCCTACAGGATTGTCTATTCCAATAATGGCTTGCTCTGTGTCGAACTCATTAATGTAAAACCCTCTTCTTGTGGAATCCAGCCATTAGAGAGGTCCATCAGGTTCCCAAAGCTCTTAAACCTTTTGAACACGAGTATTATTGTTGTGTAGGATTTGGGTTCAGCCCAATTGTTAATGATTATAAGATAGTGAGACTTTTTGTTTCTTGGTATGATCAAATGGTTCATAGAGCTGAAGTGTATTCATTAAGCACAGGATCATGGAAAGAAGTTGATGTTGGGAACTTAGAGGACGTGATTGATATCAGTAGTAGTTGTATCACTTTTAATGGATCAATCTTTTGGTTTGGTTTAAAGGAAGATGTGGAGAGTGAAAGTGATGGTTATTTGATAGTCTCATTCGACATAGCAATGGAAGAGTTTACATTGATACAGATGCCTGCTTTATCCCCTAAATCATCACTTTGCAATAGTCTTACTTTGTATGATAACAAACTTCCTATGCTTTCTACAAGATTAAATGGAAATTCTTGTTCAACTGATTTGTGGGTGATGGAGGGATTGAGTTGGACTAAGATATATGATATCAAACCCTATCCCTCCTCTTTACATCCAGTGGCTATTTGGAGGAATCATATTATTTGCACAACTCATGACAGGTTTAAAAGTTCTTCGGACATTGAAGGTGGATTAATGGATAATCCTAACATAGAAACCATGGTGTGCAATCTGACGAACATGGAATTCAAGATATGTGCTATCAAAAGATGTTGCTTTGGCCATGATTTGATTTCGAATTATGTGGAGTCTCTCGTACCAGTTAGCAACATACATGTGGAAAAGCCGTCGCTTGATCGTAAATTTGGATTATTACATTACATATTTAATTTATTTAAGTACTTTCAATGGAGCTGAATCTATATATAATTTTAGATTATCTGTCCATTAGAGATGTTATCTAGAATAATGAATGCATATTATCAACACTAACACTATATAAGTGTCTCTTGTTATATATACGACCTATTTAAAATTTGAAGTTGTTTAGTCTTCTTTTAAAGGTGGATATGTCATTAAATTTTTGGCGTGTGTATTATTTGGGACTAGTGGATTAGAACATGCGACAAAGGTTATTTGACCTTGTATGATTTTTTTCTTCCAGGAGTATTTTGGGTTTATGTTAACTTCCTAATTACTAATAATGGTTCGTAAATTTACACTAGTGTGGCGTTTGAATAGACGGATTTATACTTGAATTTTGATTTTACATTTCTTAAATTTTAATTAATTTATTTAAAGTGTTTGTTTTGGTAGTATTACCTCCAGTCCTAATTATAATACTTCGTTTATAAATTATAAATAAAGTCTTATAATTAGTACAGGAGGTAATATATAAAAATCCACGTTAAGATATTAGGCAAATTTGCTCATTTATCCCTTAATATGGCACAAAGTTTTATTTTAATATCTTCATTTTATGAAGTGGATTTTTAGTCCTCTTATCCTAACTGGGAATCTCACTCCTAATGGCTTTATCTTTTGGTTAGCGCAAAGGCGACTTGTGCCGGGTGAAGATAGAATGATCCTTTTTCTCATAGTTTCATTTGACATAACAATGGAGGTATTCACATTAATATCAATGCCTCCTCAAAAAAAATTTTAGTCCTCCCAAGTGCCTTACCAAATATGATAATAAACTTGCTATAATTACTCACACTTGCACCACAGGTAGTGCAGATGTTAAATCGTCCTTAATTCATTTGTGGGTGATGGAGGAGGCTACTTGGACTAAGAAATACACTTGCAACCCATGTCCATTCTTTTTACTTACAAACAGTGTCTTTATTTGGGGGAGTCAAATGTTTTGCGATGCTTTTGTAGCCCCAAGACACAAGAGTAAATTTAAGCAAGGGGCAAAAAATGATGGGCCAATGACAGCTCTATTTATAGTTGATCTTATTACCAACGAAATTAAGATGCTTCCTGATAAAAGATGGTTCCAAGTTGATGTCATTTTCTATTATAATGAGAGCCTTGTACCAGTGGACAACAGTCACTTTCAAGAGCCTTTATCCAAAATCTTTAGAAGAACCATTTAGATCATTTTATACTTAAAATCCCTGTGGTCCTCTAGAGATTATGATTTCTAGAATTAAGAATGGCTAGTTGTTTGTTGCTTTATTTGAGCGATATACAATATCTTATTGTTTAGTTTCTTTTTATGATTGATATATATTGTTCGATTGCTTCTGAATGGATTAATTATTTAATATTTGTTGTCTAGGTAATTTACTCGTAATTTTATATCATTTTAGCGGAAAAAAAATTATAAGGAAAGCAAATTTAATATTCTTGCATGTTCATTTAATTTTTCAAGGACGTGTGTGCTCTTTTGGCCAATATAATGGTGAAAGAATAGTGCTGAACTGCCGGTTAAGATTTTTCTGGATTTTTCTTTTTTTTTATCAATAACATGTTTGCTTTCCCAACAAAATGCAGCTTTAATTTACTGATCGCATTTTGGATTTTGCAGAAAGTCTTATTCAGATAAGTAACATTCAAATTAAAGAGGATTGATCTGTTTTCTTAATTATTAAATTTGTTATTTACTTTTAATTCTGAAAAAGCATACTTGTTGGGAGAGCTTTAATCTTAACACTTTTGGCTTGACAGAAATTAGTCTCAAGTCCAAAAATGAGAATACTTTGACTTATACCCAAAAAAATATTTCTTATTTGCTTTATTTAGATTTTTTTATGAAAATATATATCCTTGTGTATATATATATAATATTGCATCATTCGTGTGTTAGAGATGTTAAATGCAAATTAGTACCAAATGTTTCTTGCTTTTATATTTGTAATTGTAGGTTAAGAGTGATCCATAATTTAGTTGTTGGAGTGGATTACTTGGGACATTTTTTCCATTCAATATACCAATTGTTGTAATTTTATTGAAGATTATTGATATCCTAAATGTTAATTGATACATCGAAGATTTATCTTATTTTTGTGTGCATATTATCAGATCATTTGTATAATTCAGCCTGAAAATTCATTGCATTTTAAATTCATTCAACCAGACTAAAAAATGTTATTATTTGTTGAATTAGGGTTCATATGTCGTCCTATTTTTTTAAGATCAATTTTATTTTGAATAGATTTTAGCTAGTAAATTATATTTATTAATGAATTAATTTTAATTCAATTTATAGATCATGAATCATATAGACCGATCAATCATTTTCACTAAATTCACAGATCAATAATTCCTCTTTTTACAAGAGACAATTAACCAAATTACATTGTTTAAAATATTGATCAAATTAGTTAAAGAGAATAAATATGTAAAAAAATGTAATATGAGTAGTTAAATGAGGGTAAAATGGAAAATAAATAAATAAAGTTTGAGACAACCTTCACGACTTCACGTTGTTTCCTTAAGTGCCGTGCATGACATCTCTGATTGGGAGAATTCAGGTTTAATTCCATTTATTTTTCAAAAAAGATATGAAACATAATTTTTGATTATGTTGATTATAAAAAATTGTCATTTCTTTAGTAATTCATTATAACAAATATTAGTTAATGCCAAGTTGCCCAATGGCAATGTCACCCATTACATTTGGAAACTTATTAGATGGCATAAGTCCCTAGACTAGAAATCTTATTACTCAATCCCTCAACTATTACTCGGTACAACTCAGTCTCTAAATATTTAACTTAGTTAAAACTTGGTTCCTATCTTTTTCTCACTTAATAAATTGATCTAACATGGCAACAGATATTGTTGACTATGTTAAAAAATGCTGATGTTTTTTTCAAGTAAGCCCCGCGTAGCTCCGAAAACTGAAAGCAAATCAGCAATATTCTTGAACTCTCCACCTGACCGTGAATCAAGAAGCAAGTAACTGAAAAACTGAGTCATAACTGAGTCAAAATTTGAAGGATCAAGAGACTAATTTGCCTAAGTTAAAAGTTTAAGAATTGAATTATATCACTTCATATATAAAATAAAGCTCGTGAGATTTTAGTCTAAAAAAAGGGTTGTGAGATTTTTGCTCAACAATTGAAAACAGTATATCCTCCTCCAAATAATCATATCCTATCCTAATAATCAGGACGAATTGTTTTTGAGATGGAATTTTCGTATTTGAATTTGAGATGAAATCTTTGTTCAGTAATGACTTTGTTTCAATTCTTAAATCCACAGTGACTCGCTAATAATATAAACCAATCAATCATTTTCAATAATTTGGCCAATCAATATCATTAAATTCAAATTATTTATCAATTTATTTTTATTGATTAGTAGTAATTTTGATATAAACACGTTGAGTAATCAAATCACAGATAAAATTCTCCGCGATGAATTTTTTATTGAACCTAATAAAAAAGATTACACGCCTGATAAATATAAATGAAGTTAGAGTTTTTTAACTTTTTATTTTTTAAGAAAATTAAGTGAAAAAAAAATAAAGGTCTTGAGATTTTTGTATCAAAAAAAGTTGTGAGATTTCTTTTTCAGCAAATGAAAACAGCATATCCTCCTTCAAATAATCATATCCTATCCCAATAATTAGGACGCATTATTTCTAAGGAATTTTTTCGTATTTCAATTTGAGATGAAATATTTATTCAGTTATGAATTTTTTTTTTAATTCTTCAATCAGTCAGTGAATTTTTTTCATATTTAATCATATCTCGATATTTCTTTTCAAAAAAGTAACATATGCATTAATTTTGGTATTGTAATTTATTATCAATAATATTTTTAAAATAATTTATAATATGGGTGAAAAATAATTAAGATTAGATTAGATATTAACAAAATAAAAATCTTAAAAATATTTGAAAAGATAAAACATAGTTGATAAGTTAATATTCTCATATGTTTCACGCGTGCGCACACAAAAGCTTATACTCCTCCAATCATTAATATAAAACCTATTTAACTAATTTGATTAGATTAAGGAAGTTAGGTAAGTTAACTAATTATAAAAAATATGACATATTTTTCTTAAAATATCATAATCATCTTTTTTAATATCCTTCCTCTCCACTTACTTGATTATGGTTGAGGGAGTATCCACAGCGATAATTTAAGAAAAATAACAAATATGAGAAATATGTGGGCTCAGTCCAATTGTTA